TTATGTAACTTGTTTCACTTTATATATGTGATTCTGTTATGTGAATTTATGTGTATATATGAGAACTTGACACAAATGGTGAGGCTAAGCCTATTTGAAAGAGTCAAGTATATTGTGATTCTCGAATATATGATGAGGTGGAATCCCATATGTGAGAGTCAGATGGTTGAAAGTGGAATGAGTCTATATGTTTGTGTGCTTGTATGTTTGTGCCTCATATAACTCCACAATTGTATAATATGGCATTGACAGGTCAAATTGTGTATTCTATGTGATATAGGTATCGTGATGAGTCAAACAAGTGTACATAGTCCTTTTGTACTTGATTTAAGGACCAAAGTGGTCAATAAGAATTGAATAGTTAAGGTACAAGTTTTGAAAGAAAAAGTAGCTTTTTTTACTCAGGTGTCCAATTCTAGATTAGAACATTGGATCAAGTCCAAACTTATCTCATTGATAGAATATGATATAAGCTTCGTATGGGCACTTAAATCACTCTAATTGGACGTCGAATGTAGAAATGGCGTGTGCTAAAAGTTCACCCCACGAGCTGTCTTATGACAATAGAATTTGCTATCATATGCACCGTGGCTTATTGTGTGCCACGCTACGGTGCATGGCACAAAGGGAAATAAAGCTCGTGGGTCTGTACCACATGCCGCAGTGCATGGCATGGTTCACAAAAAATAATTGTGCCTTGTTGAGTCTTGAAATGTGTGTTTACACTTTTGTTAGCCTTTTTATTTAAACATGCTTTTGACGAAGTTGGGATCCTGCATTTTGAAAATGAATTGAGGGCTTTTACTCTAATGTTAAATTGTGATTGTACTGTAATGTATGTAAATGTGATAGTAAAGTCCAGATTAAGTGAGGGACTTTACACTAAACTTATAGAACTTCTTCTTCTCTTGATTCTTCATATTCTTGAAGGTTTTATCATATCAATAGATCTTGATATCAGCACAACTAACAAACATCTTTTCTCTTGATTTTGTAATCATTAAAACACATGGTTCAACATTTACAACTCGATGCAGATTACCATAATATAGACAACCATATGGTAATTACACATTTACTATCATGACTTGCCATAAACTTAACAACTGTGACATGTCAAATATACATATATGCATGATCCATTCATCCTTATACTCTCCTTATATCTTCCGACTAAAATCATAGGCTATAATATCAATAAGGGCTTTATCTATGTGACTGGACTAGCCAAGCTCACTAATTAAGAGGTGTGACCTGGCCAAAGATCATAGAACTCACTTTCAGACGACGGCTTCATCCACTCTCAAATCTCTGGGATGTCATATATTCTAAGCTAATCTTCTTGATAAATAGGTATAGATAGCTAGGTTCTAGTCCTTTGATAAACTGTAGGACAATCCTCAACAAATAGTGAGATAAAGCTTAGCCTTCATGTACTAGAAGGTAGCCATAAATGTCATATGAATTTTATCTACTCCTCTCCCTAGGTGAACTCCTATTAATTGATCATGCAATGTATGATACCCACTCATTTCACAATTTTGTTCAATTGATATTAATACATTGGGCTTACGATATCACGCTACCCAAGTGAGCATCAATATTATTTTCATAAACCTTCTCCATTTTACTAATTCATCACATTCTCACTACTGGAATTATGACAAATTTTAGAGTTGATAAAACTCATATAACTTGTAATTCACATTTTTCAAAACAAAATCATAATATAACTTAACAACTTTTCAAATCAATACAATTCATAAGGTGAATATACTTAAAGTTCAATTTGCAATTATGACAAATTTTAGAGTTAATAAAACTCATAAGATTCATAGCATGTTCTCTATCACCAAATTCAATTGCACATGCTAATAAATCTATTTTCACATTATAACACAATTAACAAACAACTATCCAAGATACGTTCTCCCTGGTTACCTCAAAGCTTTGAAAGATCAAAGGTTTACTCCTCAATATATGCCTCCGAGCTTGCTTCCTAAGCCAAAAATGGTGTCCAGACGATTAATCTACAATTAATCAAATCCAAACTCATCAACATATTACCAAATACAAATTTCCAACTCTCACTTTTTATTTCTAAAATACCCAAAGCCCTTATTTCTCACATTTAAACTTACCCATTGAGTATATTATCCTAACTAACAATCATTAATCTCACATACGGTCATTAATGTCACAACAACCCTCATAATTCAAATTTAATGCCCTATTTTCAGACATTATTGAGGCTCACACACTAAAAATGTTTAAAACCCTCAATCACTTGTTTAAATATATTAAACAAGTCCCATTAACTTCCTTTGAGTCAATGGGTTCGAACCAATAACCTATATGGATAGAGAATCAACTCTGCACTTCAAACCCTAGCTTCAAACTAGTGTAGAGAGGAAGGGGAATGATAGAAAAAACTTACCTTAATGATTGGGAGCTTTAAATCCTTCCCAAATTTGTGCCTTAGTAGAGCTCTCTTTATTCTCCTTGTTTTTATTTTCTAACTCTTTTGATTTCTCATCAATTCGCGTCTCTTTTTTTGGTAGAAAATGTATCATGCACTACGGTGCCTATATCACATGTCGCGACATGCAATATAGAGATAATCACTTCATATTTTCAAGACTCGTGCACTGCAGTACACCATACGCATACTGCGGTATATGGCACAAAGACTTTTCTCCACTTTTGATGACCAAGTGACCCAATTTCACTTTGGACCTAAATTTATACCTAAAATCCCAACTAAAGATACTCATTAATCCCTTCTAACCACAAGTACACCACATAAATTCTACTTAATTACCTTTAATTAGATTGATCATCAAGGGGTAAATTTTTATGATGTTACATGGGCCATGTAATAAATTTGTCTTAGAGTGTGTTTGATTGGAGGGTTTTGGAAGAGAGAGGAGAGAAAGGAAAATGTTCCCCTCCCTTCATTTGGTTGAAAAATCTAGAGGGAAGGGGAGCCAAAGTTTAACCCTCCCCTCCCCTCCCCTCATTTTAGTCCCCTAAATTGAGGGTTTTTGAAAGGGAGCCAAATATCATGACTTATTTGCCCTCATTAGTTATCTTATATTACACAAATGCTTGTTGCTAAAAAAATAAAATAAACGCTTGTGCTCTTGCTCTTTTTCTCAAAAGAAGCCGAAGACTTAGTAAAGATGAAGTTTCTAAAGAGGTTGGAAGAGCAACCATGAATAAAAGATTAAAATTAAAAAAAAACAATATATTTGGCCATTAATTCTTCTTCCTCTACAGCCCCAACCTTGTCTTCTTTCTCCTTATCTTCTTCATCAACAATCATAGATGTGACCTTTGATATGCCGCATTTGAACTCGAACAGTAGCAACTATAAACATATTCCCTTGTGACCTTCATACTCAAAGACAGAAAAACCAATGGCCAAATCTGGATAGGGCCTAAAGTTATTTAAGTTATTTTAAAATTTGAGAACTAATATTTTAATTTACTAAAATGATAGGGATTGAATTACAATAAGTTAAAGTTTAGGGACTAAATTATATCTAAGTCAAAATTATAAGGATTGAGTTACATTAAGTTAAAAGTTAGGGTAATATATGTTGGCAAAATGGTTAATTACTCCTTACCTTCCCTTCTATCTCCTCTTGAACCAAACAAAGGATCATTAAAATCTTCTTCCCTTCAACAAAACCAAACAAGGTTATATAAAAGCTCTCCCTCCCTTGAACCAAACAAAACCTTAGGGACTAGCAAGAGTAAATGTGGCTAGTGTTGGGTCTAAATTTTAGTGAAAGTATTTATATGTTTTAAAACAGTAAAATTTTAAATTGTATGAAGTTTTTTTATTCATGAAGACGCATTATAACACACTACAAGTTGTTTAGCTTTAAAATTAAACTATCTCCTAATTTCAACAAATGAAAAGAAAATTGATCGATTGTTATTGTAATCAATAGTAGAGCTAGGATCCAAGAACAAGACTAATTTATGTTTATATATATATATATATATATATAAGTAATTGAAAAAATTAATTTAATAATTAAAATTTAATTAATAATTACATACTCCATACATTCAAAAATATAAAGTATTTTTTGAGGAGTTGGATGTTCAAAAATGTAAGGCATTTTTAGTTTTTTGAGGTGTAATAATTACCTTTTTTTTCAAAAGTATTCCTATTAATAGTAACTTTATATTTATTGTAGAGTATTTAATAGGGGTAAATATGAAAAGATAGGATTAGTTGGAAAGTAAGTAATTATTTTATTGGGGGATGAGATTAGATTAAAAATGCTTTACATTTTTGAACGGAAGGAGTACTTTATAAATTGTCTTTATGATGGTTTCACGTTCTAAAATGATTGAACAATTAGGTCATTGTTATTTAAGACTCAAATATGATTAAAATTTAAAATGTCAAAATATAAGGATGCAAATATATAAGAAAAAAAGGGTGCAAAATTTTTTTTAAAAAAAAATGTTCACTAATATGTAATTTTTTCCTACGAGGGAGGCTTATGGCCACCCTCAAATACAAGTGGCCCCACCACTACTGATTGCAATAATTTCAACACTTTCAAATACAATTTAATCATCCACCAAGTTTTGAACCTCACTTTGTACATATTGAAGGCCGCCCTAGCTTGACGGGCAGTGAATCAATTTCACTATTTTACCACATGGTTTAGACTTTAGCGCCATGCCAAATTTATGTACATACAAAAGCGCCTATATATACAAATGCATACACACACATATGGAGTAGACTGAAAAGTCTCACAGATTAAATTTCTAATGTACACAGTTGCATCATTTGATTTATTTTAAGACAAATTTTGAATAATGGAAAGTGTAATTAAGCCATGGATTCAAAATTTATGATCCAAGCACATCTCCTTGATTCATGATAATCAAAATGAGGTGTGGCAAGTATATGGACTGTATTCTCTACCATATAATAATATATATTAGCAGGGGGAATGCAGGTGGCAAGGTCATCAAAAGGTGACATCAAATGTCCAAATTGAATTAAGTCTCTCTTCAACTGTGTTTTTCAGACGTTATTGTTGATATTATGAATGATTCTAGTCCTAAATACCAAGGATCACTCTATCTGCTGATCTCGAGGCTTGCGACTATTTATTCATGACATGTACTTATTCAATAATAATATTTAGTACACCCATGTAAACAAGCTCATGGCACCCTTATTTAAGTTACATAGATGTTACATAAAACCAAGTCTCAACTGAAGGTGAGTTGGTATTTGGGTGATTTGTTAGGATTAAAGAGACCAAAATGCCTCTCAGTTTCTGCACCTTGCTTCAAGTTTTCATCAAACATGGCAAACAAGTAAGTCTCAATTGGTCCATTAGGCCTCTTGGGAGTCCCACCTTTGACATGATTAATCAAATTCTTATAGTAAGTTCCTGCATTACCAACAGTAGCTCCAGTTCCACCTGCAGAAGGCCACCCACTTTCAGACACAACAATCTTTATATTCGATGCTCCGATCTTCTCCAAAGCAGCATACATAGAATCCAACAAAGCATCAAACAGGTTCTGATACCCAGCGCCGTTTTTTCCTTGTTGAGTGAACAATGCATAAGCAAGAGAAATGCTTTGTGTGTTGCCAGTGTATGAGAAATAGGGATATATGTTAGCAAGAAGTGGAGCTCCATTATTAGATAGGAAGGTGATGATTGGCTTTATGAAGCCACTTGCAGGACCAGTGAAAGCTCCATTATTGGGAGGGTAAGAGTTTTGAATTAGTGTGCTATCTATGGCTGTGGACACCTTGATTTGGCCTTGTAAGTTTGCCGCAGAAATCGCACTCTGAATGTTCCGCATGGCAGGAAGGACGGAGGATGCTCTGGAGTCACCTGGATGGACTTCATTCCCGACAGCGATGTACTTGAACTTGACATTTGAGTAGGGTTTCACGTACTTGTTAACCCAATTTGTGGCAGCACCAGCGTTTGTGAGAGATTGAAGGCTATCATTAGGAACACCAAGAATGACTTCAATGTTCGTTCCTCTTAGGGCTTGGAGGATGGCTTCATTAGGATCGTATATACGCATTTTGCCTATTCTATTGGATTTGTACAAGTTCACCACATCTTGTTTGCTTGGGAGGTTGTTCCCATTTGCACCGTAACACACTCCTATTTGCTGTGCACCTACACGAATGAATTGTGATTTTAGCAACTATCTAACATATAAATAATTGTAAGCTGCATATTCTATTTTAATATGTGAATATTTGACCCAAATATTTCAGGAAGATAGTTAGCATTATTTATTTACATTAAATGAGCGTTGTGCCAATATATATATATATATATTCAATCTGGTGGTTTAATTTAAGCTAATCTTTTATTAAGACCCTCCAATAAGGAACAACATACGTATATAATGTGCAAAGAAAAGCTTAAAAAAAATCTTTGGCTTTGATAATTTTAAAGGGAGAATGACAATTCAAAACCTTGTAAGGAAATTAATGTAAAATAAAGACCTTGGGGTTGTACATTTATGAAGCTTCAGTTATAAATTCATGATATTTTAGTTGTCAAAGGTCCTTTATATCTTAAAAGGGTCCTTATTTGTCATTATCCCGATTTTAAAAGTAGATAGACATTAAATATAACAAACTTATCATTTAAGACATTCGTATGTATTAGTATTTAATAAAAAATATTTATTTATTTAAAAAATTTGGTAGAAGGACTGCTTCCATTCTTCATTGAATCATATGAATCGATTTAGCAATAATGTAATTTCTACTTTCTTTTTTTTATACCAAATTACGTATATAGAATGTATGAAATATCTATGAATAAAAGAATAGATAGAATAAAATTATATTTAAATTGGAATTTGCAACAAATGGAACTGGGGAAATATCTTTCTTTCTTTTTTTTAGCTAAAAACTGGAAAACAAAATAAAATTAGAATAATTAAATACAAAGTGTCGATGCGTATAGAACAATCTAGTCAACCATTGACCTCCACTACAATTCCTAAAGAGATGAAATTATCCCTCTGTTTAATTAGCCGTTGGCTTTTTCTTTATGTCCTTATCATCTAATAAATAATTAACTATTACAATTCTTTTTCCCTTGTAAAAATCCAAACTATCGGAGAAGGCAAGTCAATAACATGCACCACTATAGCTAGCTCAGATAATACCTTTGTATTGAATATCATTCATAAACACAGTAAACTGCCCCCATTAAGAATTAGGAAAGAATTCAACTAGTAGTGACTATGATGCTCACCTAAATCACTTTAACTATGTATAGGTTGGAATTAATAAAGACTTTTGAAGTGGTCCTGAATTGATATGTTATTAAGATTAATATTGAGTCATACTCATATTCATACTCATGTTTGTTTCCTGGTTTTAAAAACTCTTTTAGTTTTGAAAATGAAAAAAATTTAAAACTATTTGGACAAATATTTTGAATTTGTTGTTTTCAAAATTGTTTTCATTTTTTATTTTTAAAAGTGAGAGAAAAATAATAATTTAAGTTTTTTTGTTTTTTATTTTTATTATTTTCAAAATATATTACATTTTATCAATTTCTATCATAAGTCATCACTATTAATTGCATGCTATCATCACTATCATTTATTTTTTTAATTCTAAACTATTTTTAATTAACATAACCAAATATTTTTATTTTTTTATTTTAAAAATAATAATTATGAAAAACTATATTACAAAATAATTTTAACAATAAAAAATGAAAACAGAATTCAAATAAGTCGTTAGACTTTGAAATCTTTGGAAGGCATATATCAACCCAATACTTGTTAGGCGGAGGTTACGGGAGAGTAGGGGCTAGACTTAGATGGATAGGGATATATATATATATATATAGAGAGAGAGAGAGAGAGAGAGAGAGAGAGAGAGAGAGAGAGAATGTAATGGAGAAATAATTTCTCCATTAATCCATGAATGACAATATTTGAGATAAAATTAATGTAAGGTTAAATCAATAAAAAAAATCTCCATTAATCCATGATGAGGGAAGGGGAGAGATGGAGATATGAAAAAAGTTCAAAGAAATATAAGGCAATTTAATGATATTTTAAGTCTAATTTTATTTTTTTTTTTTTTACAGAAGAATGACTTTCAAATATCAATCCTAGCAACTGCAAATTTCAGAGTTTCAATTGTAAATTTAAAGTCACAAATTACAAAAAGTATCATAATTACAACTATCCGAACCAATAACTTAATCTTTGGAAATTAAACATTTTATAATTAATTATCATTAATAGATCTTCTGAGAGCTAATTGTTCCACGTAAACAATAAAACAACAGACATAATTTCTCCAATATTAATCCATGAAAATCAAGGGAAGAGACATGGGGGAATTCAAATATATATATATATATACACACACGCTCTTTTTGGTCTCTAATTCACTATAATTAAAAAATGATAGTTAACTCATTAAATATACCTTAAAATAAATAAAATTTTTAACTTTACCTGCATTAAAATAGAAAGAGAGAGCTACATAACATACTACATGATGAGCCATAAAATTAAATTTATAATAAGGGTACAATTAAAAAATAATAATAAATAATACTCTATGTGCCTAATATTAAGGATCAAACAAGCCTTCTAAAGATACCCTATAATAAAGATCAAAGGAAGTATTTGGCTAGCATGTTGAAGAAACTAAATGTTATATATATATATATATATAGAGAGAGAGAGAGAGAGGGGAGGGAGGGAGGGAGACCTGTAAATTGGAGTCTTATGGAGGAGAATACACCAAGAAGCAGCAATATAGAAGACATGTTAATCTGTCTTGTGAAGAAGAATGTACCCATGGCTATGCCTTCAAAGCAAAAGCTAACCAATCAAGTTGTTAATGATCGAATTCTATTTATGACACGATATTCCACCCCAAGGCGTCTACCCTCTATTTATACACATATATAACATGCACGCAGCCATAATGTTTGAAAACATCAATCACAATCAATTTCTATAGTACAGACGCAAAGACTTTTCCCTTCCCCGCCAATCACTCCACTGAATGTATTAATCATCACTTTGAATTTTTGCCATCTCTGTATATATATACTTGCGTTCAGACAAACAATATATATACACACTTGCAGAAATAATATTATATCATCATATAAGTTAAGATACATTTAACAACGCAACATTTGTCCTCTTTCAGCTGGTTCATTCAAGTCAAGCAGCCCTAGTTTTTTGGCCTTTTGCCAAGCAGCCTCACTTCACACAAACCTATGGGTTTGAACGCCCTATACTGTGGTTCGGAAGAATCCAGATCCTCTCAGTATCCTCCTCCCTCAGCGTTCCAATCACAGCCTTTCAATAAATATTTAATGTCTCATACTTTACCACATCATCTCATATAAAAATAATTTATTTTAAAAAATAATTCTTTTAACTAAATTGATTTTTAATTTCATTTTCTATTTTAAGAACTTATTCTAAAAAATTACCCTATAAATTTTTATAAAGAGACCTATAATCCACTTTATTTAAACTTTGACTTGACTTATTTAATAAAAATATGCTTAAAAAAATTTACATAGTAAATCAGACTATAAGCAAATACTTATAGTTTAGTTTATTCAAACTCTGGCATAATATATTTAACAAAAATATAATTAAAAAAATTTACAAAGTAAGTCAAACTATAAGTAAATACTTATATTTTGACTTATGCAAACTCTAGCAAGATCTATTTAATAAAATTATATTTAAAAAATCAGATTGTAAGCAAATACTTATAGTCTGATTTATTTAAGCTTTGATTTAATTTATTTAATAAAAATTTATTTTAAAGATATAAAGAGAAATTTTTTAGAACAAGTTACAAGAATTATTTTTTGAAATAAAATTATTTTTACATGAGATGCTGTGGCAAAGTATGGGATATTGGATATTTATTGAATTGCTGTGATTGGGACGTTGAGGGATGCTGAGGGTGGAGGATACTGAGAGGATCTGGATCCAGTTTGGATTGAGTAAATAGTATGGAAACCACTCTCAGATTTCACACAAGCAATCTAAATATTAAAAAAAAAATCCTATGAATCAAATTACATAATTACTTTAGCGTTCCATTTCGGTGGGAAAGAAAGTTGGAAGGAAAAAAAATAAAAAAAAATTAGAAAAATAATATCATCCTTGCTTGGGTTTGGATGAATAAGATGGAAAGAAAATAAGCAAATAACACAATGACTATAATTTAAAAAGTTATGTTTCTATTTAAAAAATTTAGAAATTTAATTTTCTATTTATTTTTTATTTTTTAAAGTTTCCATTTAAAAAAATTAAAAATGTTATTTTTTTTATCAATTTTTGAGAAAAAATGTTGAGTTTTAATTTTAAGCTTTCTGATACGTTGCATTTTTTTTTTGGTTAAGCTCCAACGTGGTGGTTGTATTATTTGTGCTTTTTTATTCCTGGATTCAAATATATTCCTCTATAGAAAGAAATAATATTCAAAATTTTATCATTTTGCATATTTTTCCAGGCACGGATGTAATTCTCCAGACAAAGATGATGGTAAAAGCAAGTGGGTAGAAAGGAAGGGCAGTATCAGAAATAAAGTTTTACTTTTAAAATCTCTCCACATGTAAGAAAATTTTTTTAGAGAAAATATAATGAGTCTCGAATTATTTTTCCCAATTTTTCTTTCGTCCCTCATCGTTTTCTTCTGTGTCTTTTAATTTTCTCCAATCTAAGATCTTATACTTTATCTCCATATAAATAGAGCATAAAGTTTTATGTCTTTATTGAAGTTGTTAATTTACTATATCGAAGTTAAGTTGTCAGTTATTTTTGAATATAATTGTTAATAGAGTTATTCAATTGATAATTAAATAATAATAAATTAACAACTATTTAATAATAACTGACAACTTTTTTTTCCCATAGTACTAATTGACAGCTTCAATAAAATGTATGGGACTTCAGAATAATGTTTTTTAGTGAATAAAACTTCAGAATAATTTTGTTATTCCAAGAGACATTCTATATTTAAATTACTCGTGTGAAACTTGAGAGAGATTTTCCCTAAACATAACACTTATTTCGCGTATACTGTATATAAAACACAATCCCACAATTTAGTTGTACAATTCAATAGTTGATTTCATTTCTATTTTAATAATAATTTATTGTGATTTTATGTAGAATTTTTCTTTTCTATTAAAGAATATACTTATATATTCACATGCCTTATTAGTAATCCTTTTCTGTGCTGTTAATAGCCTAAGTATAGGTTAAAAACATTTTTTAATCTTGTTTCTTTATTTTTTTTAGTACAAGATCACAGAAAAAATCTGCATAAAATGATGACAAATCAAGTTTGACAGAGTACAAAAAATTTATACACCCATTGGGTGGAAAATAAAAAATCCTGATGTCTAAATTATCATATAATGATTAATTATGTGAAGTCAATTAATACATTTATTTACTTTTTTAAATATGTGATCAAGCGTGATTATCCAGTCCCTTATAACAAATTTCCTGATTTTCTTGCTAATTTCAACGAGGGGATGGCTATTAATCTTTCTTGTTTCATATGAATAGAAATTTTGAAAAGTTTACTTAATTGGTCAACTTGGATGCCGTACCTTGACCGCCAGTGATTATTTTTCTTTTATTTTATATGCAATTTTGGCACCTTTTGCCATTTGGTTTACTGCCTAACTATTCAAGGTAGTCAAATATAAACACGGGAGCCAATACATACATGCATATGTTTGTATAAATATGGCTTCGTAATTCCAAGATTATAATATATATATATATATATATATATCAATACATTAATCTCAATATCAATAACATTTTAAATATAGAATTCATAACTAATTTCATGTTTAAAGATAAATACTTATTTTTAAAGTAAATTGTGAGCTTGTGCTTCATGAAAATTTTGAGATAGCCTTACTATTTATGTTATATCAATATTATATGAATATTGGAGTTCCCTATATATATATATATATAGATTGAAACAACACACTAGCCACTAGCTAGCCACCTAATAAAAAAAGTTAGAAAGAGTAACATGTGAATTTAGTGTGCCTCATTTAGAGTTGACTTCCTCGTGTCCTCATCATTTGGTACACATATTCTACATCATCATCATTAAAACTAATATCCCTAGTCCGATCCTCCTCCATATCTTTTATGATTCCCACCAGATTGTCATCCTCTAATTGAGTTGCCATCAATTCCCTCTAGAATTCATTAGTGATCACAGTGGAATGCACATTGAATAATGTAATCTGCAAAGTTTCTCTATATGTGAATCCAAAAATGATTCCAACATGTCATGCTCATGTACCATTAATCGAGCCACATGGATCGACTTTCGTTTTAATGCGTTAGCTATAGCATAAGCTTTCCAAAGGTGATACTTCAATTCAAAGTTATGATCTTTGAAGAACTCCATCCACCTCCTTTATCTTATGTTCATCTAGTCTACCATATACTTACTTCAAACTCTTGTCATCACTGAACATCTCAAAAACTACGCCATACAAATAATGCCGTCATATCTTCAAAGCAAACACCACAGCTGCTAACCCCAAGTAATGGGTAGGGTAATTCTCCTTGTGTTGTCTCAACTATTGAGATGCATATGCCACAATCCATTCATCTTGCATTAACACACCCTAAATCTTTCAAGGACACATCTGTATACATAACATACGATAAATGTGGAACAGGGATAATCAACACTCTGAAGTCAACTTTCTCTTGAGTTCCTAGAATGCTACTTCACATTTGTCCATCTATACAAACAATTGATCCTTCCTAGTTAACTTGGTCAATGTAGACGCAATATGAGAAAACTCCTAAATAAAATGTTAATAGTATCAGGCTAACCCCAATAAATTTCATATTTTCATAACAAATCTTAGTCGTTCCCATTTTAACACGGCCTCGACCTTATGTGGATCCATTGCAATACCCTTGGCAGTGACCCCATGACTAAGGAACCTCACTTCCCTTAACCAAAACTCTCATTTACTAAGCTTAGCATATAGACTATTGTCCTTCAAAATTTGTAACAATATCCTCATATGCTTAGCATGCTCCACTTCATCCTTGGAATATATTAGAATGTTGAAAATGAATGCTACAAAAAATTGGTCCAGGTAGGGTTTAAAAAGATGGTTCATGTAATCCATAAAAACTATGGGTGCATTTGTCAACTAATAAAACATATTTATTATACACTTTTCTATATCAATTAAGACCATTTATAATGTTTTATTAGCTTAAAGTCCACATATATTTCATTAAAATTGGAAATTTTTACAAGTGTCTACATTGTGTGCTCTAGGGGTATTTTGGTTTAAAAATTGAAATTTTGAGAAAATATACAAGAAAATTAGCCAATGTGTATTTTAAGTTTAGGAAAAGAGTGGTCAAACTAGATTTTACAAATTTATTTTAGTTTGTGAGTAATTAAATAAAAGTCAATACTTTTTATTGACTCAAGTGTGCTTATTTGACCTAGTTTTGGGTTTGCATTTGTGAGAATTTTGTTATGATTTTGTGCATCAAAAGACTTGGATATTTTAATAAATTATCCCTTCTAAATATGAATACAAAGCTACACATTGATTAGATTTTATGATATCATATGTTATTAAATTTGTGTATTTTATGGCATAGGTGACATATGACTTGTACATCAATTGGGCAAATGAGGTTAGAGCTTCAATGAGCCAAATTTGATCATTTTGGATGTGGACTGCCATTGGGTGGAGTAAATCTATTTAAAATGTGGATAAAGCATGGGATTAACTTGACACACATTGAAATCACTTATAAGTCAATAGGCAAGTGATACCTAGCAAGCCTTTTCCATGTGACTTAGTCCCATTTGCATT